TATAACTAATAATTTTTTTTTGTGTGTGTGTATGTACTGCTACAGGTAAAATGACTCATAAGTATATGCTTTCACGGCTTTAGTGTTTTTCTGTGGTTAATAATTGTTTTCATTTTATTTGCTTTCTTCGTGTTCTGTGTAGCCCTTTGGCCTGCTCTGAGTTGGACTGGTCATTCACTGCAGGGCTGACATCCTGAGGCACTACTATTATCCTGGGACTTCCTGCCACCCTCCTGTTTTTTGGCTCCTATATCTTTTCTTGGTCCCCTCCTTTGTCCCTGCAGCAAATTCCTGAGAAAGGCAGATGCGGGAGATATGTTGTTTAGAACTGGCATGTCTTAAAAGCATCTTCATTCTACCTTAACTTAAATTTGGTTAGATATAAAATTAGAGTTCTGAAGTTGTTCAGGGTTTTTTATTTTAAATCATTTTTTTATTTTTCAGTTACAGCTGACATACAATATTACATTAGTTTCAGGTGTATACCTCAGTGACTAGACATTTATAACTTACTAAGTGATCATCCCAATAAATCTCATCTACATCTGGCACCATACATAGTTATTAGAATATTACTGACTATACCCCTATGATGTATTTTACATCCCCATGACTATTCTGTAACTACCAATTTGTACTTCTTAATCATTTCACATCTTTTAAACCATCCCTCCAATGTCCCTCCCATCTGGCAGCCATCAAAATGTTCTCTGTATCTATGAGTCTATTTCTGTTTTGTTTTTTCATTTCTTTTTAGAGTCAATCGACGATAGATATGTATTTATTGCCATTTTATTGTTGACTTTTTAATCTTTTTTTCTACTTCTTAAAGAAGACCCTTTAACATTTCATGTGATACTGGTTTGATGATGAAGAACTCCTTTAGCTTTTTCTTATCTGGGAAGCTCTTTATTTGTCCTTCAGTTCTTAATGATAGCTTTGCTGGGTGCAGAGATCTTAGTTGTAGGTCCTTGCTTTTCATCATTTTGACTATTTCTTGACAGTCCCTTCTGACCTGCAAAGTTTCTGTTGAGAAATCAGTTGAGGGTCTTATGCGAGTTAGTTACCTTTGTAGGTAACTAACTGTTCTTCTCTGCATGATTTTAAGATTTTTGTTTTTAATATTTTGCATTTTAATTATGATGTGTCTTGGTGTGGGTATCTTTGGGTTCATTTTGCTTGGGACTCTGCACTTCCTGGACCAGTATGTCTATTTCCTTTATCAGGTTAAGGAAGTTTTCTATCATGATTATTTCAAATAATTTTCACTTTCTTTCTCTCTCCTCCTTCTGCACTCCCATGATGTCAATGTTAGTACACTTGAAGTTGTCCCAGAGGTTCCTTACACTATCCTCACTTTTTTTATTCTTTTTTTTTGCTGTTCTGATTTGGGCGTTTTTTACTTCCTTATATTCCAAATCACAGTTTAGATTCTTGGGTTCATCTAGAACCCAATAGAGTAGATATTACATCATCTACTCTACTGTTGATTACCTATAAATTATTTATTCCAGTTAGTATAACCTTCATCTATGAATTTTTTTCTTACAGTTTCCACATTTTTTTTTATGCTGTTGAAGTTCTCTCTAAATTCAACTACTTTCTCCTAAGTTCTTTGACCATCCTTATAACCAGTGTTTGAACTCTGCATCTAGTAGATTGTGTCCATTTTGTTTAGTTTTTTTTTTTCTGGAGTTTTTGTTCCATTCTTTCATTTGAGACGTGTTTCTTTGTCTCCTCACTATGGCCGCCTCCCTGTGTTTGTTTCTATGTATTAGATCGAGCTGCCATGTCTCCTGAACTTGGTAGAGTGACTTAATGTAGTAGATGTCCAGTAGGGTCCAGTGGCACAGCCTCCCCAGTCACCCTAGGTGGGGATTCCAGGTGTGCCCCACCATGTGGGCTGTGTGCACCCTCCTCTTGTAGTTGAACCTTGATTGCTGTTGGCACATCAGTGGGAGGGATTTACCCTCAGGCCAGTTGGCTACAAGTACTGACTCTGACCACTGTGGAGGGTCAGCTGTGCAGGGGCCCACCTGCAGAGCAGAACTTACTTCAGCAGGTCTCTGATGCCTGATGATTCTGCCCCTTGAATGTGTCAGTTGTGGAGGCAGTTGTGTGGTGCTACAATGAGGTCTGAAGCTGTCCACTAAGTGTGCTGGTTCTGATGCCTCCCAGGAGGTGTAAGCCAATGTTAGCCATCACCCGTGTTCTGCCTGGGGCCACCTGGCATGAGCTATTGTACAAATTGATCTGCATATGGCTGCTGCTTATACTGGGCTTAGAGGTGCCCAGGCAAGGCCAAGCTGTGAACCAAGGCTGTCTGCTGCTAGTGCTGGGCCCTGAACCACTTAAGGAGAGGTATGGGACATGCTGAAGCCAAATGCTTCTTGTTTGAGAGATTTTAGGAAAGTCTGAAGCCTGAGCCAAGACAGACCGTTCGTATGGAAAAGCCACTGAAAACAGCTTAGGTGGGCCTGCAAGTTCGGTAAGGCAGGGTCTCAGGGACTCACTAGGGCAAGGCAAACAGTAATATCCAAAGTTGATAAAAACTCAGATGTGGTATCTGCCTTCTGGCTCTTAGTAGGGAAGGCTCATCAAAGGAACACTGGTCTCTGGGAGAACTACTGTCTGGGAGAAAGCTGTTCCTGATGTCAAACAATTCAGTTCCTCCTCATAAGCCCCTAGAGCTTTTTGAGTTGCTGCCCCAGTGCTAGAGTTTAAAAGGAGTGTGTCTGAGTAAGTCTGTGCACAGTTCCTTTAAGAGGTGCTGCCTGGGACTCGAGAAGCCCTCTATTTCACTCAGCCACAATGCCCATTGATTTTTAGAATGAGAAGTTAGGGGAACTTCCCTTCCTGGCACTGGAACCCTGGGCTGGGAGGCTTGGTATGGGGCTGGACCCCCTGGCTCCTCAGTGGGCCCCTCTGCAGCTAAGATATACCTTTCAATTTTTATCTGCCACACTTGGGCGTGGGACCAGCCCATTCTGCATCTCTGCCCCTCCTATCAGTCTCAGAGTGGGTTCTTTATATCCCTAGTTTGTAGGACTTCCATTCAGCTGGATTTCAGGCAGTTCTGAATTGTGGTCATCATATAGTTTAGTTGTAATTTTGATGTAGTTGTGGGAGGATGCAAGTACTGTGTTTCCATACTTCATCTTGACCGGAAGTTCTGTGGATCATTCACAACTTTGAAGGAATCACAGGATTGTTTTCTGGTTTCTGGTGTTGCTGCTGAGAGGTCTGGTGCTGTTTTGACTCCTGATCTCTCATTATATGGCCTCTTCCTTTACTCTGAGAAGCTTTCAGGATCTGTTCTTAGTCTTTGATGCACTGAAATGTCACAATAATGCACCTTGGCATAGTTTAGGTTATTCTTGTTCATTAGGCTATTATGATGGCCCCTTTTTATTCTTCTGTTTGAGGACACCTTATTTATTTTACTTATTTATTTTGGTAATTCCTTGCCTTTGGTTTTTCTCTGATTTCTTTTTCTGGAACACCCATTATTCAGATGTTGGACCTCTGAGTATTTTCCTCTAGTTTTCTTTTTTTCTCTGTTTAAATTTTTTTAACTTTTTTTTGTACTTTTCCAGTGTCTCTACTTTATTTCCTAGATTTTTATTTCATTTTTTTATTTCTACTGTCATAATTTTAATTTCTAAGAGCTCTTTTTGTTTTCTAGTTTTTAAATAGCATCCTATTTTTACAGATTCAATATCTCTTCTTATCTCTCTGAGGATATTAATGATCATCTTTCTGAGATTTTCATTATTCTGCATAGTTTCTTGTAAGTTGTTTTGTCTTGGTATGTCTCCCATGTTAGAGGTTTTTCTCAGCTGCTCAGAGATCATTAGCTGTATGAGTAGAATGTTAAGAACCCGATTAAAAATTTTCTGCTGGAAAAAACTGTCTGCTGGGTTTTGCCGACTGGTCTGTAGATTGCACTGGTTTGCTGATCGCACTGTAGAGCAGTGTAGCTGAGCTGTTTCACTGGGGATCTGTGGTATCGGCCCTTCTAGCCCTCGGACCATTCAGTCCCCAGGGAAGACTCTTCCAGTCTTCTGGGCAGAGTATCAGTTTGGTCTCATTTACTTCCCATTTTCAGTGTGGTCCTTTATGTCAGTGCTACTTCATGTTGCCTACTTCAAATCTCTCTTTTATCTTCTTTAAGAAAAAAATGTTTAGCTTTCTACTTGGGTGATCTAATTGCTTCTGAAAAAGCCTTTTAACCTGGTCTGCTCTTGTCAACATCATCTTTGCCACACTTCAGAACCACTCAGCACCACCGGTGCTTGGGCCTCTGGGGTACCTCCCAGGACCGTGGGAAGTGCCCCATGACCAGGGGACGCACTCATGTACTCAGCAGGTTGCTTAGTGGCGTTTCCTGCTGCTGACTAAAACTCATCTTTCTTGGGTCTGCTGAGTCAATTACACCTGTCTTGCTATCTAACTTTCCAAATTTTGTTGTTGTCATCTCTTTTCCTATTTTTTTTTGTCTTCGTGATTTGTGCCTTTTTTAAGAAAATAAGTCCCATTGTTGTTAGTGAGGTTTCTGGAGGAAGACATAAATATGTGATATTTATGTCTTCCTCAAGCAGAGATTTTCCACATAGCTTTATGAGAAAGCAAGTGTATCTGAAAGCAGTAAGTCACAAACAGTGTTCCCAAGGAGGCACTGAAGAATTGCTTTCTCATCGTCAACTCACTAGGAACCACAGGAATAGAGCTAACAGCAGGGCCTAGGATCCTTTATTTCTGTATCTTTTTCACGTCCTCCTCCTTTTCATACAGGTGAAAGGGTGGGCGTCATACAGGCACAGGTGTGTGAGTGAGGTAACCCGCACGGCAGACTCTCTCCCCTTGTGGGAAATTTTCAAGTGCGGTAAATCCTACCCTGAGCTCTGTAGCCACCCACACTTGGTCCTGGTCTTTTTTCTTCAGTGAAACTAGTATTTGTTTTATCTCTTCCATTCCCAATCCCCAAACCTATTATATAGGATGATGAGAGCCTGAAGTACCTCACGCATGAGGAAAAGGATGTCATCCTGTTTTTTGAAGAGACTATTGATTCCCTGGAGGATGACTTTGAGGAGCAAGTCCTCTGTGACAGTGGGGTACCCTGCCACTCCCCACCATCCCTGGAAGGGAGCACTTCCAGCCCCTCGGAGCCAGAAGATGTGATCGACTTAGTGCAGCCAGTACCTGCGGCTGGGGAACCTGAGTGCCTTCCGGGTGTGGCTGAAGCAGCAGGTGAGGAGTGAGGCCCTTTCCCCAGACTCCGGCTCGCTTTGTGTGTATTTAACACAACACAGAGGCACTGCTCTGTGTGTCTGCCACTGTACAGGCTCTTGAGCTTATCTGGCTTTCGTAGGGTAGTTTGTCCAACTACCATATTTTGCCCTATATAATACGCATTCTTTTTGCCCAAATTTTTGAGGGAAAAATAAGGGTGTGCGTTATTCATAGGTAGTTCTAATTCCATATCTATAGAAATGTTTTTAATTCCTTTATTTATGCTCATGCATTAAAAATGTAACTAGAAAGAAATAACGATATCTGTATGCAAAATAATACCCTGGAATACAAGAATCTGTTTTGTTTCTATAAGTAAATAAATCATTGAATGAAAAATATGAAAGATTTTATTTTTCTAAAAGTTTGGGCCAAAAACATGGTGCCCATTATACATGGCAAAATACGGTAAGTAGATATTTTCTGAGCATATTAGGATTACAACACATGAAAGGAAATTTTGAAAAGGGCTAGAATTAAGAATGAGACTAATTGGGCATACAGATAGCTTGTCTATCTGTATTAAAAAGAAAGAAAATTGGAAATAGCTTCCAGGTAACAATTTGTTATAGAAAGAAAACATATGAGGTACTTGTATTTTAGCCCTTGAAGTTTAATCTCACTTTTTTGTGCAAGATTCTACCCCTGTTGCTGCAGCATGACTTTCCACAGTGGGCATTTGAAATAAAAGTCAGCTGGCTCAGGAAAACAGGAAAAGATCAGAACAAAAACTCAGCTCAGCATCCTCTTTGTACCTTTGCTTTACTCGGGGCAGCTTCAAAAGAGAGGTGCGCTCTTCGTCCCTGGAGTCCTACAAAGGAGCCAAAGGAGGGGGATATGGAGAAAGTTTTCTTCCATTTTTCCTCCTAATAAGAAATAAATGTGGTCACAGGGATAAGGATTGGTAATGATGAGGAAAAACTAGAAAGGAAAATAATGTAGCTCTGCTAACTGTAAAATACTGCCATTTGTCATGAGCCTCTAGAAATATTTTTTCCTTTTTTATTTGTAAGCAGTGCTGTGTGTTGCACCCAATTTCACATACTATGGCCATGGATTCCAAAGACGGAGCTTAGTTTGCAGCCATCTCTTCAAAGAAGAGACTTAATATGAAATCCCTATTTTTGTCACACTTCTTTAAAGTATACTTCCTAAAATTTGAACCAGCTAAAATTTAAAATGTCAGATCCTATAAAGATGTCAAGAAAAACACATTTTGAAAGTAAGCCACCTTGCCCTTCACTTCCCTAACATGGTTTTTCATAACAATTTTAAGTGCCTACTCTGTGCCAGTCATACAAAGATAAGTACGACACAGCCCGCAGTTCTACAGCAGGAGACAGGTGTGTGAACCGAAGGGAAGGAAGGTGCTAGACATTCTGTGGTCATGTGTGTCCTGGAGGTAGTGAAAGCCAGCGTATAAATCCCACCTGGGCCTGTCCGGAAACACTTCCGTTGCATAGAGGAAGGTGAGGGCTCTTGGTGTGCCACACCGCCTTCCCGCCCCCATGTCCCCTTCGTAAGCATCCCTGCTGAGGTCGGTTACTTTTCCTCCTATTAATGCCTCAGGAGGATGGGTCCTCAGAAGGTCGCTTTTGCCATGTGCTTCCCAGGTACTGACCTTTGCTGACCTGGCAGTCTTTTACTTTCTCCTCCTCTGGTTATGGGAATCATATACTCTGTTCTGTTTCATTAGCCCAGGAGACAGAGATAGGGGGAGTTTAGTTTACAGGAGGTACTGCTGAAGTTGGAATTATGTCCATTTGAGACCCTTTTCAACTTAGTGGGAAGGAAACGTAATGTGTTTATTTTTACATAAGGTCACATAAGGTTATGAGGATTCTCTCTACTTCTCAGGGGCTGGACCTGTTGGAAAGGAAGACATTCCTGCCCTGGAGCTCGGGACACAAGATGTAGAGATTTCTCCTCAGCCAGAGTCCACGGTTCCAGAGGCCCCCCCTCAGCCACCTTCCCCACCCGTCCCCGCAGCGCCTGCCCACCCCAGGAAAGAGCTGCTCTCCGCTTCTCCTCCAGCAGAGCACCCAAAACTGCCCCGCTCCATCCCCACTCCACTTGTTATCGCCCAGAAAATTTCTGAGAAGTTGGCAGGAAATGAAGTGCTTTCACCCACCTCTCCCTCAAAGGAGGGCAGGCCTGGAGAATGGAGGACACCGACTTCCACTGCCCCTCGAAATGGAGACCACTCGTTGTGGCACAGACATACGGCCCAGCCTGCACCCAAGGTCCACCGCTTCCCGAGCAACATCAGTGTGACCAACAGTGCCGGGAGGGAGTTCAACAAGACTATCTCCAAGGCAGCTGTCAACGTGCAGGAGCGGAAAGCCCGGGTCCTGGCCAACATTAATGGTGTCTCTTTTCTCTCCTCGGGAGAAGCGGATGATCGGGCCCAAAAGGGTGATCTCCCTGAGCAGAGGAGAAGCGGCTCACCAGAGCAGGGGACACGTGACCACAGCAAGCCAGGCCCCGTCCAGGAAGCCACATCCTCGTGGGCAGGAGGGCAGCCCAGCAGTCAGCAGTCCAGAGGTGTGCAGACAGAGCAGACCCTGCCGCTGGCCAATGGCTTCCAGAGCATCCACGATGTCCTAAAGAGTGAGCCTGGTGGCTTTTTCTCTACTGGGAAAACCGTCACCTTCCATCCGGACCAGGCTCTCACCAGTAAACTCGCACGCCAGAACGCCAGCAAGAGCTTGTATGAGCACCGGCCTCCAGACTGCGGCCAGGATGCTAGGAAGCGCTCAGGTTCGCTGCCCAGGGCGGTGGGGTTCAGACCCCAGGGCATCACCGTTCAGTTCGCTGGCCGAGGCTCCACTGAGGAGGCCCGCCGGGAGGCCCTGCGGAAGCTCGGCCTGCTGAAGGAGACCTTGTGATGGAGAGCGAGTGGGGGCTGGAGGAGCGGGACAGCCAGGCGTGTTTGGCCCAAAGTGGCGGTGCGCTGTAAAGAGTGGTCACCACCGTCCCAGTGGCGGTGCCCTGCTGAGGACCAGCCGTGACAGGCACCAGGACTCAGGAGTCCCAGCCGGGCGCTGAGGACAGTAAGGGCTGCCCCACCCCATCCCAGCACTGAGCTGGGGTTTCCCTTTGTGAACGAGGGCCGGCCGCATATCGGCCTTTTTTGCAAGAACTCAGAGAATAACCTTGAAGACCTAAAGGTTTTTGTGATCTGTCACTTCCATCTACTTTAAGGATTGGGGAGGATGGGACTTGGGTCTGATTTGTTATTCTTGAGTCTGTGCTCCAGCCGTTGATCCCAAGCATACCGACATTCATACCCAAACTGGCAATAAGCCAGTCGAGGTCTCTCATACCCACTTCTCCAAGACAGGGGTTTCCTCTCCTTTTCTAAGAAAATATTAAAAATTGTTAAATTTTCATAGTGTCTTAAAATACATTTTTGGATTTTTGTTTTTGAAGGGTAAAGGACAGTATGTTAGCCCTAAATATGCCTTTGTGTCTTGATATAATTTGGTTTGCCTAGTTTTTTTAAATTGAAAATTGAAACACAACATTTAGAGTAGCATGTACTATAATTTTGAGTTGTGAGAGTGGAATAGAAAGGTTGAGTTTGGAAAGGGTGGTGATTTAAAGAACGCAAGTCTCATCACACTGACTGGTCTGTGTCACTGGGAGACGTGTGTATGAGCACTTACTGTGTATGTACGTGTACATAATGTTTATAGAAACATGTTATCATACACGTATATAGGTACTTCGTGGGCACATACATGTTCATTGTTGCATATACATAAGCTTCCTAATGCCCTGTACTCTGGACAGGCACAGCCATCCCAGTGGGGACAGATGAAGTAGAAACTGCTACTTCCTAACGTGGAAGTCTTTTAAGGACACGTCTGCACAATATTTTGGTGAGTCCATGTCTTAAAATTCTGCGATGTGTCTTCTGTTCCCAGGTAAAGTAATATTCCAAGTAGGGTTCCAGATAAGCAAAATTGTTTCTCTTTTTAGTGAGGAACATTTTCAAAGATTTAATTTATCACCTAATTTTAGTTCCTCATTTTCCAAGGTAGCTAGTAAACAGGAGGAAACAAAAGATTCTTCGGATTCCATGTGTTCTGTGAGCAAGATCTCAGAATTAATTTAAAAGGGAAAATGACAGCAAACTGGGTGACACTGCAAGAGAAGGACTCGTTTGCCCCCACACCGACCACTGCTGAGTTGTCGCCACAAGCGTTATTATCGGAACTGTTTCAGGCTGGCGTCCTAAACCTCTAATAATAGACTGGGAAGGGCCACCCTTAGATACCACGCCCTTTTGTTATTATGTCTCAGCCACTGTCACAGAATCTGTTTCTTTCCTGTTGAGTATTATTTAAATTCAAATTTTTTAATGTGCTGTGAAGGATATTTTTTGTAGTATTCAACTTGCCTTGTAAGTTACATAAAATGATTGTAATTTTCTTTTCTCTTCAAACTACAGTATTTAGTGTCTTAGCCAGCCCTTGCCCTCCTGAAATAATATCATGGATTCTTAATGGTCTTAATTTAAATATGTTTTTAAAGTAGTTTTTATTTTACTCCTGTTTGTACTGGATTTGGTTAAAGGGTTCTTGAGGGCTGGATCATCTTTTACAAAGTGAGATGCCCTATACGGTGTTTAAAAACAGAGGGTCTTGATATGGCTGACATTCTAAATATCCTTTATCTGTGAGGGCTATTTCTTTTTATCTTATCCTGACTTCATCGAGATTAAGGTGAACTTGACTATATATAGTATATTTGTTCTCACAATGACATTTTTGAAAATAAATTTAAATTCATCTTATGTATAAACAACTTTGTTTTTACATTTTATGCTTATTCTCAATTATTTTCTTTTAAATGGTTACATTCTTTCCTTATATTTATTCATAATATCTACTTCCTATTTATCTGTATTTGTACTCACTATTATTCTGGTCATTTCTTGTGCCCAAACGCTAGCAATTAAAGCCACACGTGTTATAAAAGGTTGAAACCACAGCCGCTGATGAAGTAACCCGTCTGTGTGTGCACTGTGCTAACAGAAACAGCTGGTTTGCGGAAGGGCCCAGTTTTCTCACTACACTGCATGATAGCTATGACCTTCTTAAAGCCAAAGGAGTTTTTCGGATCATATTGCAAAGCAAAATTGTAATGAAAAGGAAAGATGAATCCTGAGTGCCTGGTTGTTTTTTTTTCAAGTGATACTTGTAAATCAGTCTCCTTTTTTTGAAACTCTTTATCTTAAAATCAGGGAAACATTATTTTGCTTCTAGAAATGTATGTACGAATGGCCCGACCAGTCTCACCTAGAGCCTGTAATACTTTGCAGTTGCCAGGGTAACGGGGTCTGTTCAGTCTCTCCTCTGTTCCTCCTCTCCTCTCCTCTCCTGTGTTTGGTTCCTGGTGTGCACACTCGTCTTCACAAAATGAGCAGAAATGCTGATTTTTGCTTTTCTGTCGCAGCTCACATTCTCGTCCTCTGAGGCTGGCTGAGGAGAAAGGCGCAGCCCGGGGCCCCTTGGACACACATCTCTGAGCCCGAGGACGTGCAGGGCACAGGCCCGGCCGCGCTGTGTGCTGGCTCCTTGTCCTGACTGTGACTATATTGAGAGGATCCTTCCCTCACAATCCCTGATGGGGGTCAGGGAGCTGGGGGCGGGGTGGGGGGCGGCTCTCCATGAAGGCTCCCACTTGAAATCAGCTTTCATGAAGAGGTTCGTGGAGTTGATAAGCAAGGTCTTACAGAGCAGTTAGGGTTGACCTTTTTATTTGTAAAAATCAGAAGTGTATTCTCCATTAAATTCCCACAGCCTTGGCTATGTGAAATCAGTTCTTTATGTTTACTCAAGAGTAATAAACAGAACTAAGATAAATATGAAAACAATTTACTCTTATCCAGGAACTCATAACCTCTATGCTGTTTTCCTAACGAGGTGGCAGAATGAGGCACTGTTTCTCTCTTATGTGTATTTTACTGCCCTGAAAGAACAAGCTTAATAAACTTTTTTTCCCTAACCTGCTCCTATGGGTTCTTAAATGTTTGCAGCAAATCCTTGTGTTCTCTGAAGGAGCAGGGCTTGTTTTTTTTTGCCCCCTTTTCCTCCTGCCCCCACCTGGCCTGGGATCCGGGAGCTCCTGGGTGGCAGCAGGAAGGGAGGGGTGTGGGGGAATGCTCACCTGTGAAAGGTTCATGTTTTCATTGAAATGACAAGTCACCAAACAGGTTCTGTTTCTTCTCTTCACAACAAGGCTTTTTCACTGCTTGAAAGCATGGGGAACAAGTTCCATATCCTTTTCTAATCTACTCGCTGGACAAGCCCTGCTTTCAGATATCTGAGAAAAGAGAAAGCTGAGCTCTGGGTTGTGCCGTCCTGGGAAAACTGGAGCGCTGGGGCTGAACTTGAAATGGAGGACCGCCTGGGCGGGCCGCCGCCTGCAGTCCCCCTCCAGCGCCTGCTTTCCCTCCTGCTCCAGAATCGCCAGAATCACCCTCTTAGCTGGTGAAAAAGCTGCGGGGGTGAAAGCCCATCTGTCTGCACAAGGAAAGGAGGATAACCTCGGAAGCTCCCTGTCCCACACTTGTTAGCATAAAACGACCAGCCTTTGTGTGTGACAGCTGCAGTCATTTTGTAAATGTCTCTTTCGTCAAAGAAAGGTAGCTCTCCTACACATTGTAAATCCATCAGACTCAAGAAATGCCAGTCACTGCTGTCATCAGCAGGCTCGTTCTGCCCCCTGGTTATTGACCATCACGTCAGCCCTGTCCGGCTTGCTCTGTACAGATTTTCTTCAGGCTCACTTCTTATCTAAGTGGCCTGAACTTTCTATTCAACAATGAGCTAACAGGGGGAACATGGTGGTTTCCAGAAATGATCTGGAAAGCCTAAGTGACAAATGTAGTAATTCTCTGACCTGGATGGGAGCAGACCCCCAAATCGACCTAAGGAGCAGGTGGTGGAAGCAGGGCCCACCCTCTCCAGAGAACTGAGCAGTCCTGGGCTACTGCCAGTATGTTTTCACCGCCTCATTCCTTGTCATCCCCATCTGCTATGGCCGCACACAGGTCCTTCTGCTCCGGACACACTGAGATCGAGAGTGAAGCTGAGTCAGGAGGAACCCCCAGCCTCAGTGGTTGAGTTCAGTGTAGGTTTTCCCAGTTCCCGCTGCTTCTTCAGGACCATCGTGGCCAGCTGTTTACCAGCAGAACATGGCTTCTGAGTGAGGTTCAGTGAGCATTTCAAAGGGGAGACCCACCCAGTTTTGAGGAGGGCCTCAGGGTCTCCTTTCTGGGTGCTGGACTTCCAAGTGTGGTGGCTTAGGTTCTGATTCGGCGATCACCCTCACGCCACTACCCCTGCCCCCAGGAAAGGTGGCAGCTATGCTGGCCCAGCCGGGTGGCAGCTGTGGTTAATGGAACTCAGTCATTGATAAACAGGTCACACTTCATAAACTTTGAGTATTTGTATGTGAAGCAGAGCTGCCAAGGGGAGTAACCTAAGTACTAGAAATACTTTTAAGGGGTGGGGCTGAATGAACAAGGAATCCATGTATCAGGTGTAAAGGGCTCCAGAGAACAAGGAGCTCTGTGCACGTGTATGCTTGCACGTGTGTGTGCTTGCACGGGCCTACACACCAGCCCCTCCAGAGACTGGCCGGTTCCCATCCTTGGCATTCCCGATTTGGCTGGTGGTGGTGGTGGTGTGTACTCGCCCTGAGACCTGCCACAGAGGGCTTGTCCTTGTCTCTAACGACATGACCAGGTCTCTGTGGCCTTTATAGAGTTAGGTATTTCCTCATGGAAGCCACACCCCTGACGAGTTACTGGGACGGCAGTTCTGCATGGTTCTCTTGGGCTTCCAACTAGCTCTCCTGTGGTACAACAATTTCTTGGTCCATGAAATAAGATTAAATGTATCTTTTTACTTGGCCATTTGCTTGGTGTCTAAGCATTTTGAATTTGGGGGCAGCAACTTCCGTCAAAGAACAGGAAGGCTCAGGAGGGCCCCCCACCTTCCCGGTGGGGTGTGTCACGCAGTGGGGAGGGCCCTGTCACCCGGGGCCTTGTCCTCCTGGGCTTGCTCTCCAGACTCAGGCGCACTGATGGTGCCTGTGAATCTTCCAAATTCACAGCCCATGTGCTTGAGAGACCTGCCGAAGCTCCTTATTTTTCAGTCCAATCTTAAAGGCCAAGTGGACTGAATTGAAAATGTTCATAATGTAAAACAGTTGTTTGAAACTTGTCTTCATTTGAGAAGCTTAGGAGGCGGAGCTGAATATGACAACGTTTATCCACGTGTTCAGCACATTGTTGCTCCATTTCCTTCCACTGTGAGTGGTGCTGAATGTTATCACTTATTCCCCGTGACCCGCCACGGGGTGGGGCAGCCATGCC